GAGTTATATAATGTAGTTTTTATTTTATACTGCTTCTGTTTGGCTTTTAATTACAGAACATTCTCTGCTTTTCATACCTCAGCACTTTTATTTATGTGCGCCGGCGCATGTTTAAGAGTCTCTGCAATTAAACGTTCTATGTCCTTCTGCCCAAGACCAGCTCTCCATCTCACGACCGCTTCTGGAACTAAACAGAAGTCGCAGCGTTACAGTATGCGAGTACCATAACTGTTCATGCTTGTGTTATCAGTGTGTTTATTCATATGTTCAATTGTGTATAAATTAGATATAAATGTCAAGTGTATAATTTAAATACAATGTATACACTTATAATTTAATTAATCATACTATTTTGTCATACTATAAAAATCATACTAATTAAAGTATCTTTACAGAAAGTATTCCAATGTCAAAAACTTCATATTTAATTTTGTTAAAAAGTAAATAAAATAAAAAGTTGTGCTAGAAAACGCAGAAAGGACTTGTATAAAGTCAAGACAATCTGATGTAATGGCAGCGTTACTATTTCAGTGTCAAATCTGTTACACATTTGTCTCTGTTGTTCATAAACGAATCATTGTTACTCACGTGTGATAACTTTGCACATTGTTGTTTTAATTTGGCTTCCCATGCAGGCTGCAGTGGCTCCATGCGACGCATTACCCTCCGTACACACTCTCCTGGGTAAGGCTGAGATGGTGTGTCTGCAAGAAAATGCCATTTGTTGGCATGCAGGTAACCAAAGGTAATAGTATACTCATTATGCTGTAAAATGTTATACCAGTTTCATTATATGAAACCTATTTGGCCATTTGCAAAATTATGGAAAAGGGATACCAAAAAATAAAGTCATATCATTTACTCTCCCTCAACTTTCGTGAAGTTCTTTCTTCCGGTGAACATAAAGGAAGATATTTTGAAGAATGTTGGTAATGAAACCGTTGCTGTTCTGTGTTGGCTTCCATAGTAGAACAAAATATATACTATGGAAGCCAGAAACGGTTTGGTTACCAACATTCTTCAAAATATCGTCTTTTGTGTTCAGCACAAGAAAGAGACTCATACAGGTTCTGAACAAGTTGAGGGTGAGTCAATGATAGAATTTTCATTTTGGGGTGAACTAACACTTAAGAGGTAGATGTAAAATAAATGTATTTCATACTAGTTTGCCTAATCCTAAAAAATGATACTGGTATTGATATAAAATCTGCAAAGAGAAGGTATAATGATGTTGGATACTTTTTTTTTTTTGTTCTCTGAATTAAGTTGGCACCCACCACTTTCTTTCTAAATTCAGGGTCCTTAAGGTGGTTCTCAAGGTCCTCCAATTCCTCCTTGCACTGAGCTGTCCTGAGGTCCAAGATATCGTCCTCCCTTTGACGACTCTGGTTCCTCCGCAATAGAAGTAGAGTTTGTGTACACCTTTTTGATCACATTTAAACACATTTGGTATCTTGTTGTATCTTTGAGGTCTTCTGGCATTGAACAGTCTCTGGGAGGCCTTGTCCATGGTGTCGCTCCACTGAAAAGATAACATCACAATTCTGTTAGACAATTATGCAGACATTTCGGTTTTTCATTTTTAAGTTAAGTAGTCCTGCACCTGTGTTTTTTTTTTTTTTCCAGCATCTTCTGCAAGTTTGAACCCTTTCCAATAGTGACTGTGTAATTGAGATCCATCCTTTCACAGTGAATGACTCCTACACAATCTTTGCAAAAAAAATTATAATAGATCAATAAGGCAAAATGATGCAAAAAACTTTTGTTTACT